CTTACAACTGCGGCTACTTCAGGAGGTAGATGGGCGAGGCAGTAGTTAAACTTTGTTTTGCTTTCCGTAATCGGCTTCGGTGTCGCAAGCTGGAAAGTTGCTTCGACCATATGGAACCACAGGTGTGGATCAGAGATATTGAAGATGGGAATTTTTACTGCAGACGATTCCGCCATAGTTGCAGTTTCCTATTAATTCGATGATGAAAAATGAAAGTTGCTTGTATCGTCAGACATCCGGGTCACCATTGAGGTAAGCGAAGATAGCTCCTTTGAGATACTAATATTTTATTAAACATATTTACATTTATATACAAGTTGGTTTGATTTACAAGAAGCATCATCACAGCAGGTGATGAGAGAAATACTGACAGGCTGTCATGTGCGTGCTGGTATTTATACAATTCTAATATGATGACATCAGAACTCTTATTTCAGTTCACTTCAAAAATAAGTAAAAGCACAATTGATTAAAGACAAACAGATAACAATATGAAATAAACTTGATTTTACGATGAGCGGCGAACCTATCACCACATATTCGTAAAAAGCTGTAAGTAATGTTTAATTGATAATTTTGTAATTGTATAGTAATGTATATTTAAATAAAAATCCTTACAACTTCTAAACGTGAAATAAAATCATATAAAAGAGATATCGTCATTCTAGCAACAATAATTGGCAGTTTATTTTGTGGTTGAATAAATATATTTTCGTTATCCCTTTTGAAACTTCTTACCGTGGTATTGATTCCACTTATTTTTAAAACTGCACATTAAGTACAACTAACAACATACTTATTCACGCTTAAGTAAATTCATTTCCACAAAAAACTAATTTTGTAATAAATGTCAGTGTTTAAGATATTAGAGATATCGAGAGATGATGAAAGTTATTCGTAAATTAAACTGTAAATAAATGACGGACCATGTGTCTTTTTATTAGTTTATTTAGACACAAACATGACATAGAAATGGTAAAGGTAGATATTGGGGAAAATTCCCGCAAAGAGAAAGCTGCCGTTCTCTTAAACATGAAAACATCATCTGCTCTGCAAAAGCGCTCGTAACAGTACGCGCATGCGCGGACAGTCAGCTTTGTTCCTAAATTTTCTATTAGAGGTTTTATTAATATAGAGCTTTAGATTATTGCAATCAAAGCTACCCAACTGAAGGAAAAAAATTTTATTACATTTAGTATATTCCAAATATAATTGAATTACATTAGTACATGTTCCGAGTTCAACTGGAAAATTTATGGAAAATTGCTAATCGTAAACTACTAATAAACTAAACTAACTAAATAAATTTGACATTGGAAGAAAAATAGGTGCGTGGTATCAGACAACTAAAAAAGTATAAATTGTGTGACGTGGACAACACGTGATACCACGTCATGTTCTTTGTTGAATTTATCTGACACGGCGAATATAAAATAATGACAGCGAATAATAAATATTTAAATGTGCCGATAAACTACCTATTTTTTTGCTCAAATAGTGATTCAATTAGAAATGATCACTGATGTCATTTTTAAAATATGTGATAAACTGAATCACTTATAGTAAAATTTAAAACAATGACTGACGCTTGACCCATCAGAAAATTCCATTTCGTTTTTCGCTCATCCCTATTTAATGAATGAATTAATATTTGAAAAAACTTTATTAACACCAAGTGTCATCCACAACAAGTTTTAAAAAAAAATTTTGATCTTGAGTGGATGAATAAAAAGTATTTTATTAACGATCGAAATTCTGAACAAGATATAGGGAGAGTGTGAACTAATAATTAGAATTTAATAACTTCGTCTTTTTTGTTTAGTTCAAAGGGAAAGAGAGATGAAAGCAAGTTTAAGCTGAGGGACTGGGCCGAAGTGCTTGCAGAGCAAAAAGCGGCTGAACGAGAGCAAAGTGCTCAGGAGGAGGTTCGGAAGATGAATAAGAATGGCGATGTTGGCGCAGTTGAATTGGCGGAATTGGCAGAAAAACTGACATCTGCTCAATATGGCATTAAAAAAGTGGATAAGAATAGGGATGTAGTTGTTGAAGAGCAAAAAGTGTCAGAACAAAGAAACATACATGAAGTGGATAAGGAGATGGATAAAAATGTTGAAAAGTTTCAACTCAAAAACTGGGATAGAGTCATTATGGAACAAATGGCACTTGACTTCCATCAGAATGGGTTCGTCAAGTATGACTTGAAAAATGAGTTATTCTCTTCCCCCCCCCCCATTATATCCGCATGATAGAAGAGTTCCAAATATGGAAAAATAAGAAATGGGTTTAATGAGACCGTTTCTGGCAGACACTAATGGGATCATCGTTCAATTTTTATGAAACATGATAACGGTACTGACTGAAAGAAAAAATGATCTAATGAAACATTTGGTTCCTGAACAGGACATTTTGTTCATTGAACTGAATTGTAAAACTCCGAAAACTCTGCATCGACAATAATGTAGTGATTTTCATGAGAGAACTAACACACACACAAACTTTCGTGCAATGTTAGTATATTCCCACAACCTGTGATTTATCTGATTATGTTTTAAGCCCGATTTGGAAAAGACCTAATTTTGACATAAAAAAAAACTAGTTCAATTGCAGGACATTTTGTATATTGAGCTGCGTGTAAATTCTCTACGGACAGCGTTTCAAAATGGTGTCTAACCCATTGAACTATATAATGTATGTGGTTAGAATTACCGTTAAATGCAGTGGAATAAAATACTCTATTTCGTAGTCGAGATTTGGCTCTTGAGGAGGACATTTTGCTTCTTGAGCCGTATTGTAAACTTTCTGAGATCTCTACGTAAACAATTCTAAAGGATGGCTAGCTAGCACAAACTTTTTATTACGTGCGTAGTTAAGATTCCAAGAATGTGTATAATTTATAGCTCAGTAATGGACATAACCTAATTTTGAGGCATTCTCAATTGTGACACAATTCCGATTTTGACAGAATCCAAGTTTGACTTTAAAAAAGTAGCTCAAAAGCAGGACATTATGTTTGTTGTGCTGCAAGTGATTATTCTGTACGCACAGTATTGTAAAGATTAAGAATTTCAAAATAATTTATGCTTAAAATTTCCATAAAATGTAATCTAATAGAAAATAACTTATATCGCAATAAAAGTTTTGGCTTAGTACTTTGTTCATCTTATTCTTTGAGTCGTATTTTAGCATTTTTCAATGTACTCGTGTTTTTTTAATGTTGCACAATTTAAATTGATAACTATTTTTCTGCTGTTATTTTTATATTAGTGTCTCAAGTGCATTTTATTACTAATTAAATATTGTTTTTTTTAATAATAAACAAACTTATTATTATCATGCTATTTTCAATCTAAATGGATAGCACAACTGAATTCATTCTAGCATTTCATCAAATCTATCAAAATCATAAATGTAATAACTATGTGTGTATGCTATGTAACTCTTGCGCTATTATCCTTGTGTAGCAGGAAACGGATCGGTATCGAAGGCTTATTGGAAAGTCTTAAAAATACCGTACGATCATATTGTTTGTTTTTATTGTTTTTTATAATTTTATTACCTTCATTGAGCAGCAGACCGAATTTTTAGTTTACGGCTACCATAGTTCAACTCCGTAGCCTTGCAATTCTGAGTAAAGTCCAAAAGACAAGGGAACTCCTGGAACAAGTATGGGTAGAAATTTGCCTACATAAAGGACTTTTTAAGGGAATTTACTAGCATGGGCGTTACATCGAGAAGAAACCCTCCCACGATTTGCCGGTAAGGGAACTCCAACCCATGTACCACTGAGGATATTTTACGTCAGCACTGTAGTCTGTGCAAGCCGGATGCCGATTCGTATCGACCAGCAATCTCAGGGATTCGAACCCGGTTCACCTAGTTGGAAAGCGAACTCTCTATCCTTTGTGCCATCGAAACTCTGTTTTACTGTACATTAAATTTATTTTTTCATCAAATATGGGGCCTTTTTATTCGAGGCAGCACTGAATTATTTTGCAACACGGTGTATAGCGGCCGCGAGCATCGCTAAATAATAAAACTGAATAAAAAAAATTAAAAAAAAACTGGAACTGCGCAACAAAAGATAGCTTGTACAAAACGAAATAACAACATTGGTGTATAAGAATTACCAATCTTGCAAAACTGGAACATAAATATTGTGTTTCTACATCACTGGAAAAACATTAGATTTGATTTTGGTACCTATTCGTTCGAATTTGCAAGGTAGGAGATTTTGACACTTATATTGTCACTGTTTTAAAAATGACTACGTTAAAATTATAATGTTTTAAAAAAGACCAATAAATTAATTGAAAAAAGGAGCAATGTAAGAAGCGCTATAACAAAATTAATCATAAGAATTTTCTGGACAAGCGAACGGAAACTATTAATCACTTTCTGAAGTACTCGGAACTTTTAAAAATCATGATTGTGATTTTGAGGACCTCATTACTGACCTCAAGTATCAGAAGACTAAGAGGAAAAAATTCTTTTGCATCTAAAATTAAATTAAAAAGTAAAATTAAATAAATAAGGAAATAAATCACACATGTAGCTGAATGAAGTCACAACACGGAACTTCAGAACATATCTTTTCGGGCCTTAAATTACCAAAATTAAAAATTCCCAATTTTTTTCTTTTTTGGTGATTCCAACTTCACGGAATTCTTTAACTGCTTTAATAGCGCGATAGGTACAAATGATTCCCTCTCTAAAATTGAAAAATGTCAATACCTAAAATCCCTACTCCCCCCCCCCGCCTTTAATGTTGTTGCTGAATTTGAATTAAATGATAAAAAATTACGAATCTTGGATTGAACTATTAATCACGATGATATCACGATAAGGGACCAACTCAAAAGGTATAACTTGTAGCTAATCTCATCGGAATTTTAATAAGTTCTAAATTAAAAAAAAAAATTAAAATTAAAGCCGGCATGTTATGAAAAGGATAGAAATTATCTAAAAATTCTATGGTTTTCGGATGAAACAGATAATTCAAAAAGAATACTTCAGTTTAATGACCTACCCTTCGAATTAAAGACGTCATCATCTGTTCTTCCTTGCGTATCAAAAGTCCATATTAGGAAAATTAAAAGAGTTCAACCGAATTGTCATGAAACGTTGAATTCTCTATACGTTGATGACTTGAATTATGATGGTGAAACTCTTCAGGACGCCAATCAGTTGTCTTCCTCGTTTGCTATTAAAATAGTATGCGCTGATGGATTTAATTTAAGGACATTAAAAACTAATTGTGTAGATCTAAGTAACCTTGGCGTAAAAACCATAGAATTTTTGAGGAAAACACTGATTTTGGACAAAGAGCAGGTTTCATGGGATTAAATTGGGATCCTACTGAGGATAAAATTAAATTAGATTTAAAAGATGTAAATTAGATTCCTTAGAATCAAGAACCACCAAAAAGCTAGAGCTGAGAATAATTTCTAAAATTTTTGATCCATTCGGATTCATTAGTTCATTTGTAATTAGAACTATAATAATTATGTAGAAAATTTGGAAGCTAGGTCTGAAATGGAGAGACTTACCTGGCGATTAAATAAAGAAACGGAAAACAATGGCCTTATAAAATTACTGATTTGGACAATTACGTTATAGTAGAACGAAAAATATGTTCAACTGCTGATATTAGTGATATTTCTCTTCACATATTTGTAGACGCAAGTCCTAAGGCTTACGAAGCCGTGGCATACCTACTCTATACAACGATGGAAGAACATATTGAAGTTGATTTCATAATTTCTAAGTGCAAGGTTGCTCCTTTAAAAACTTCGGCTAGATTGGAATTCGACGGAGCTTGATTAGGAGAATATTTAAAACGTGTTCTTCCTAATTTCACCCAACAAATATACTATTGGAGTGACTCTAAAATTGTTGAAGACAGGGGAACTACTAGATCAAGTATTATTGGGAGATCTTTTATCCTTTGAGGAGGACTTTTTATTGGAACTAACCTGCATTTGCGTTACATGGAGAGGAAAACCTCCCACGGTTAGTGTGACGGCAATGGGACTCTAACCTATGATCCATCTACCACTGAGGATATTTTACGTCAGCACTGTCGTCGGTGCAAGCTGAGTGCGGAATTCGAATTAGCCAGCTGTCGCTGGGATCAAACCAGGGTCCCCTCATTAGGAGGTGAGCGCTCTATCCCCTGAGCAACGAAGAAATATATTCATTATTGCATAATTAATGTTAAAAGAAATATTAAGCTGCAACCTAATCAAATTTCGCCAGTTTAAACAAAATCAAAATAAATCTTAGAAAATCTCAAAACAGACAAACTGTATTAAATTACTGATCCAAAACTATAAACCATGCAATTTTATTGCCTTAAATTTTGAGGGAAAAAATCAGTAGAAGTTTGAAATGAAAAGAAAGTTAGTGAATGCTTTTTCTTCTAAGCTAAGTAACTGAAACATTTATTGTGAACAAATAACGAAAATCAAAAACCTAACCAATAAACCGAAATGGCAAAAAAAGGTTAAACTCAAAGAAGGAAGGTTAGAATTTCTGCATTGATATAGAGACAGCCAGAACTTATGTAGATTTTAGGTAGAGATGGTTTAGATTATTACTAATAGCTTGTCGATACTCAAAATTATATTTATTTACTGTAAATAAGTATAACAAATCTAAAACAGCTGAAAAACTTTCGACCTAATGATTAGATTTTCAGTGCTAACATACAATGTTAATAACTTGACAATTATTACCATTACAACTTGTGAATTATTAATGATCTAAATTATGCTAACATAAATTTCTATAGATGATATTTTAAACAGCAAAATCAGTTACAAAAACGTTATCAAATAACCTTTCTATCTTAACCCTCAAGGAAGACATTTCTAAAATAAGATCACAATAGAAAACAGTCGAATGTTTCGCTCTTTAACTCAATTTTGGCCCTTTTTTGTTAATAAAAGAATTTTCAATGAATATTCTTTTATTAACACTGTGACGCTAATTTTATTTTTCTGCTGTTGTCAGGGAAACATCCATAAATTATAAGCAAATTAATTGAAATGTACACTTTCTGTTGAGAAATTTGTAAACTATTTGAATTTTACTTAAAACGGTTATTGACGAATGAAATTTTTTGAAAATGTATAATTATTCCTTTTAAGATTTATCATTGTCTTTATGACGGATGAAAGTTGCAAGTCAGTCAATAGAAAAAAAATTCATAAAAAAAAAACAAGCGTTCACCTAAATGGTTTTTTTCACTAATTCGGTGAACGGTGCCTTTACGCACCATTTTATTACTTAAATAAAATATAATTTTTTATACACTAAATTTTTTTATGTCTTAATGAATTTGTTATTAAGCATATTTCGATGAAAATAATACATTTTGTAAAGTTTTTATGCTTGGCCTAAAATGCGTTAATCTATAGAGATAATGAACTATTTTATTAATTCTTACATCAGTTCTAGTATTTCATTAAATCAATAAAAAAAACTCTTAACCCCTTAACGATCGGTTAATTTTCAAGAAAACGGTCATAAAAGTGCCTATTTTTTTGGTGTGTAAAATGAGAAATAAAATGTTTTCCGGGCAAAAGAAATGAATTAGTTTAATTCGTATTGGCGCGTTACTACTGAATACTCCAGCCCGTCAATATCACGGGAGCGAGAAATAGAGGGCGAAACCTCACCCCGTCATTTTCACGGGAGCGAGAAGGAAGGGATTAACACAGATACAAGAACGAAAAAAATGCTTGGATGGATATCTTAATTTAGTGAAATCAAAAATCGTAGTCATTAAAAACATTAAAAATAAAAAATTGTTCTTTTTATAAAAGGAAAAAATGCAACTAATGAATTAAAGAAATACAGAGGTTTAAAATTTATTTCAGCTTTGAAAACCTAAATGACAAACCAACTTTAAATGGACTAAACAAAGACAATTGTGAGCAGGGTGCGTTGCCAAATTATTTAACAAAAAATAAGCACCTTTTAAGCACTTTTCAAGCACTCAAAAAATATTTTTAAGCACTTTATAAAAATATCATAATTAGGTAGGGTTGGAAAGTTTTTGACAATCGACGGTTTTATCTTGTTTTAACCGTTATGTCCAAAAAAATCTTTTGCAGTATTTTTGACAATCGTCAAA